ATCATAAAAAGGCCATGTTTACTGGTCTGACAGAGAGTGATGAAATTCCCAAGACTATGGGCCCCAGTCATGGTTCAGGCCTGGAATTGAACTCACTACCATGACTACCACTCATCTGTCAGTGTGTCGTACTGTGGTGGCTTGCATGTTGCTGTGAGGCTGGAGGCTATGCCAGCAGTATTTCAAATACCTGCAGGGTCACCCATGGTGGACGGGTTTCAGTGGAGCTTCCAGAATAAGACAGACATGGAAGAAGGAAGGGGCCATCCACTTTTCAAGACAGACATGGAAGAAGAAAGGGACCATCCACTTCTCAAAAAACTGGCCAGTGAAAACCTTATGAATAACCCTTGTATTAGGCTGGGTTCGCTAGAGAAGCAAAACCAATAAAGCTTATATATATATGTAGAGAGAGAAATTTATCTTAGGAAAATGGTTCACACACTTATAGAAGCTGGAAAGTCCTAAGTTCTTGGATCAAACATCAAGCTGGAGGTTGTTCCTGATTCACGCAAATGCAGGGGCTGAGGAGCTCAAGGTTGGCAGGCAGTATACCAGCTGCTGACTCCGACGAATGACGAATCCAAGATCACCAGGCCAAATGGTGGATTGTTGGCTCACGGATGGTTGTAGGCAGCACAACAGGATCCAGATCCACAGAAGAAAGTCTGTGAGGCGTAGTTGGACTCTTGGCCTGGGAAAGAAAGCTGTGCACCTTGTTTAGAGTACTGCTGAGAACACTCGCAGGAAGAATGCTGAACACAGCTATATGAAATAAGGGCACACCAGCAAGTCTCCAGGTCAAGAAGTTCTCAACAAAACTCACTGTGACCTTCAAGAAAGCTCATAGTTCCCCATAAAGAATGTTTATGAATTCTGCATCTGTACTCAGTTAGAGATTATAGACATCTTAGAAACTTTGTTCTTTGTAAGCCTTGATAAGATTTTAGTATTGGACGAATATAGCTCTCAATATGATGTATAAACTCTGTGCTCGCAATAAACAGGGTCTAAAAATTTTCTTAGTCCCCCTGTGCCTCGCTTTTCTCTTGTAAATTTTCTTCAGCAGCTCCAATCCTTCAGGTTCCCACTGGTAAACAGCGACAAGTGGCGCCCAAACAGGGACCTGAAAGGCTTCTCCAAGAAGGATTATTGACGGATTCGAGAGCTGCCCTACAGAAGGAAGTAGGAATTTCTTTTATGACA